CCAGAAAGGCTGAACCAGACATTTTGGTCTCATGCTTCTTCCTTGCTTTTTGCTTTTTATTATTTCCTTTCTACCAAGGAAGTTTTGCTAAATATAGAAACAATTTTGTATGGAAGCCAAAACCTGACTTCATAATAGCCAGGAAAATATGAAGCTTCTTAAGAACTAGGAAAGAACTTTGTGCTTTCCAGATTTGATTGTGATTTCCACTCTAGCATCAGAATATTTATTGGGGGAAGTCTATGAATCAAATAAATTGAAGAGCTTGGATTGTTACAATGAGTTAAGAGGATTCTACCAAGTCTGTGACTTTAAGGATTCTGGTTTGTAAAACCATTATATTCTACTGCCTTTTGATAACCCCTGAAAGTTGGAACTAAATCTAGTCTCTCATCAGAGTGATTTTCCTACCTTAAAACAAACCTTAATAGTAGAGAAGAATTGTTTTTACTAAGAGCATCTTTCTTTACTTGTATCTTTTTTTTTTCATTATAGCTGGTGACCAAAATGCTAAGTAGGGTTAGTTTGAAATTGTCTGATGGCAGAGAGAATTTAATAAATAAATAAATAAAATCCAGAAATGTACAAAAAGGAATCCCAAAGTGCACAAAATGTTTGCACCTTCCTGCTCCTTCTGGGATAATTTATGCCCAAAGGAAAGGCAGAAGAGCACCTAGGCCCTACTGAGAGCAAGGTCTGAGGTGATTCATGGGCTTGGGCAGAGCCTGTCAATCAGCAGGAGGATCTCTGCCTGACCAATGCATTCAGTCATCAGGAGGGTGGTGATGAGTTTTGCCACTGTTTTTAAACCTACTCCTAAGAGACCCCTCAAACATCCCAGTATGACTCCGAGGCATCTGCAGGCTCTGCTGTTTGCTCATGTGCCTGTTTCACTCCAAGAAATGAAACTTGGACACGAGCAAGGGATCACGGGTGCCTCGCATTTCATTTCCTGGCTCTGGGAAACCATGAGCACACTAGGTCTCCAACCCCTCTGTGACAACCCTCCGACAGCAAATGACTTTTGAGGGTGTTACGAACACTGTGACAACATTAGGCCTTGAGCCTTGGCTGATATTCTATCCATGTGATACTCTCCACATGTCTTTGCACTATCTGCTCATGCACAACTCAGATCCTCTCAACTCCTGATGTCTTTGGCATGTTGCAGCCTTATGCCTTAAATTGGTAAGTGACAATATATTTAATGGATGAGTTGGTGAGTGTGGAACTTGGAGGTCCCTGTGAGGTGTAAGTTTGCTTTCAGTTAGCACACAGCTCTATGTTTTCTGTGGATGGGAGCTCAGAATGATCACATTGGAACATTTTGTGAAGTAAAAGCTAACATTTATCAAGCAAAAGCTCCTCAAACACCGATATGATGAACGTACCTAAAATATTAATCATTCAATATCATGACAATGGTTGCAAAAATAACTGTCTGCCTACCTCCCTACTCATTTTATTACCCTAACATGATGATACTACTGTCTTTAGAGTATCAAAAATATTCATTATTATATATTTTCTTATTCAGTATCCAGGAAGATATTTTTGATGAAATGTACTGTGGACAATTTGTGCGGCTTATTTGCTTTCCAGACTGCATTCATCCTGAGCAATGCAAAACGACAGCTGTATTATCGAGTTTTGTTGTTTTTGTAATGTTTTGTTTTCAGTGTTTACAACATACTCCCCTTCAAAATAACTTTCTAGCAGTAATTTTATTATTGTAATTATGAAATGTATCCAGGCACCTATTCACTGCAAAAGAAAAAGGAATCATAAAAGTTCAGTGATCCCTATGCATTTTAACAATATGTATTTCAACAGTCTCCAAAAAGAGTATCATTTCAGGTTAGTCATTATATTCGAGCGTAGTACAAGACTGTCAGAAAAAAGCTGTATATACCTTTCATCAGGGTGTCGAAGAGCAGTATTCTGCTTTTCCAGCACCTGGAGAATTAAAATTAACCCAACAAGCTGGGTGAAGGAGAGCGCAAGTGCTCCCTCCTGATGGTTCCTCTCTTGAAGCTGGTACTGCCGACTTCTCTCACTGCCACAGAACAGGCCTCTCCTCCAGCAGCCCCTTCCAATTCCTTGTCAAACAAGTTTATGGAGGGAATTGCTGCTGGAGAGCGTCAGCGTTGGCAGCAGGCAGAGCTACACAAACTGCAGACCCAATTAAAGCGGCACCAGCTCCCCGTCAGGCTTTACCACCCCTCAGGTTTGCCCTGTTCCTCTCCTCGCATCCTGACCCAGATTTGGGTGCTGGGAGGAAAGCAATCAGTTTACAACAACAACAACAAAAAATTCACAACAAAACCAAACAAATGCTTGTTAAAAAAAGATCATTTCACAGATCCAGGTCATGGCAGAGTTAGAGAAACACTGGACTCAATGGTGATGCTAATAAATAGGTGTGATAACCACCTAACCTGTCTCTGCCACAATAGTTTAAATATCTGTGTTTTAAAGTACTGCTGGTGCTGCCCAGGCAATCTGCATAGCTCGGCAGCTATCGAACCTGCATTAGGTTACAGTCCTGCTCTTTTGTTTACAACCATCTCTCTACTTGTCTTTCTAAGGCTTCTCCTCTTCTGGTTCTTAATCAGAAAGAGGGAACAGAGCAATTGTGTAACATTTTTTTTCTTTTTTACCTGAGACACAAGCTGCTTTTAATAGCTACCTCATGGTGGGTGAAATACAGATCTTTTCTGGATCACGCCTGCTTACTGAACATACAGATCACAACCACTATCTTATACTTATCACTGGCTTTCATTCAAGGATACAGATCTGAATCCTCTTCCTTGAGTGAAATATTGAGACTACAAAGTCAAATGATGAAGTTGACCCAATTGACCTCACTGACCCAATATCTCCTGTTATTAGAACTGTTGCCAAGTGCAGTCCAGTATTTTTTAGGTTTTCAAATAGTTCCAGTGCCTTGTACTCATCTAGAAATTGCCACTGTTTTTCTTTTTTCCAATCTTAGGCAGAGGTGCCTTCTTTGCAGATTCTCACCTGGATCAGCTTTCCTGTTTACCTCCCTTTACTACCATGCTATCCTTTTAAATTTCATGCTCTAATGGTGTTTTCATCTATTAATATATCTCTTAAATTCTCCTACTTTCACCTTTTAGCTTTTCTTTTATTTGTTCTCATATTGAGCTGTACATTTTTATACTCTTGTCATAATCTTTAGTGTTCAACTTTTTTTAGACTTTTAATTAAATTAAATGGCACATTTCCATAACTTGCGGAGCTGAAAATTTTTAGCCTAGATGGAAAGTCTCAAGGATGATACTAATTTGGTGGTAGACACCTAATTCGTTTGCTCTGGCCCTGCAGATTATGAGTTTTATGCAAGAGTCTCTATGAAATCCTATACTGTGCATTATGCAGGAAATCATCGACTACTAAGAATGTTCTCTCAGGGGCTATAAATCTTGAGATGATGGCATAGCTCAGTTGAATTCAGTTAACGTTTTGCTGCTAACTTTTATGGTGCCAGAATTTCACACAGTGAATCTGGAAAAGGGTCTTCATTTCAACAGCTGATGCTAGTCCACAAGCACATCACATGCACATCACACGTATCCATATCTGCCTCAACAAAATATTGTAGGCACTTACACAAATCACTAATTAAAGACTTACATTCATACATTTGTGATGACAAGGCTGCCATAAAATCTTATTAAGCTATTTGTGATCCCACAGACATCTCCACTCACCTCTGTAGAAAGAGCTTGCAGTGAAAGGTTATCAGGATGCATGGACCACTGCAGGTGCCTTTTAAAACACTAAGCTTTGCCCAGGGATCTGTTGGGCAGGTAGGAACCAAGAGTTCTTGTGCATTCTCTAGCTGTTAAGGAAAAAGATCTCTGCACTGGTTCATTCAGAAAGGCTGTGTTTGAACTGGTTGGTTTTGGAAGATGCATGAAGAGGCTATGTATATGCACTAGGGACGAGGCTTGCATTTCAGCCTCAAAGCCCCAAATATCCTTCATGGAGTACAAGGCAACCGTATGTACCCTGGACCTGGCAGAAGGGAGGAGTTGGAATTTGTTCCCAGTCATTTGGTACTCTATTGGCAAGAGCCACATACAACTCCCACATATTAATAATAATCCTGTCAGTTTACAGAGCTGGTTCAGGCTTGGAAAGGCCAAATACCCAGGCTTCATATGGGCACAGTGGATTTCAGCCTAGATGTACATAAAGGCCTTGAAATGTGCTCTGAGCATCAAAAAATCTGAGCTCTTCAATGGGGCAGAGTTTGCATGAAGTTTGCTATTAATAAGGTCACATGAATTACAGGTTTGAAGTATGCTATTAATTTTAACAGAAAGACTTCCCCAGCCCAAGACCAACAGATGCACCAAATTTGAAACATTCTGAAATCCTATAATAAGTGTACGTATTTTTATATATTTTCATTTTTGGGGTTTCTGTCTTCAGATACCTTTGTATAGAACAAGAATGAGCTGAAGGTGGTAACATGGAGTGAAAAAATGATTTATTTTTCAGAAAGAAGAATAGGCTTTTTCCAAGGAATAGTCTACCAACTTCACTCAGCCCTTTTTGTTTTAGGAGCTGCTAGGGCTTCAGCCCTGACAGCCTCTGACAAGGTACCAAATCACGCTCAGCTTGTCACCCTCTTCTTCCCAGAAATGAAAAAGAAGTCAGGATTCTCAGTGGGAAAGCCTGGCACTGGAGATGTCATACATGCAGGCAGCAGCAGGCTAACAATAACAGAACAAACTCTCGAGGAGAGCACTCACAGGAAAATAAAAGCAGCCCGACTTTCCCTTAACAGCATTACCTAATTCTAATGTTACGAAGGACAAAGCAGCACGAACGTGTTTGCAAGAGATAACGGGGCTGTCAAAGAACCGTCTCCATGCAGTGCCAGGAAATTAAAGTTTGATTATTAAATAGGAGCCCAGAGGACCCGAGCGCTACACGAGGGTCCAGTGCACAGGGCGACTTACCTTCACGAACAGCTCGATCTCGGGGTCCTTTCCCTCCCCATTTGTGGGAACATAATCTGTCATCTTCCACCCCCCAAGGCTAGAAGCTGGTCTCTTATAGCAAGAGGCAAAAGGCGTTTCAGCCAGCAGCTGCCTGAGGGTTTCGCTCTTGAAGGGCTCCCACGACGCTTTCAAAACATCGTTCGCAAGGATAAGACTCCACAGCAGTGGAGGAAATAACTTTCCAAGTTAATTAAAAAGAAAGAAAGGAAAAAAATTCAGAGCTAGCAGAGAAACAGCCCTCGTTGTGCCTGTGCAGTTCTTCAGAGCAACAAGTGCTGCTGTGCTCGGTACAGGATCCTCATCTGTCAGAGTGCAGCGCTCCCAGCCCAAAATAGCCCTGGGCATAAAAAAAGAGGGTGGAGACTCGCAGGGGAGGAGACAAGCTCTGGTACCTAGCACAGGAGCAAATAAATATTTCGGCTCTCCGCGTTTTCTGTTTCAGCTGCTCCCTCCCTTGCGCTGCTGCACTGGTAAAAAGAGAGCAGGAAGAGGCTGGCAGCAGGTTGGTGTCATTGCTTTAAGCAGCCGCTGTGTTTTGTCTGCTGATCAGAAAGGTGCCTGTCCTGCTCCTTAGCTCTTCAGAATCCTGACGTCCTTATTGCTTCAAATGGTAGGAGGGGGAAAACAAAAGGAGCCTAGTTTTGTTCCACCAGTGGTGGTTGTGCTTGTGCAAAGGGTGTGCAGAAAAGCAGGGCTCTGCACAGGAGAAAACCGCTGCATGAGAAACAGAGCGGTGCAGAAGTGAGAGCACTGCTGCTACAGGTCTGGTGAAGAGCCAAGGTGCCGGGGAATAGGGTTAAGCAGAACGAGAAGTAAGAGCTACAAGGCCTTGGGAACAGAAAATATTTGGGTCCCATAACTATTTCTTGACCTGCCCCTCTGTGTATTAATAGCAGAGCGGGAGAAGTGATGATATGCAGGGAGTATGGAAGAAAACTCTTTAAGAGGCCTCTTTCTTACTGACACGCTGCCGTCACCTGCCCTGCCTCCCTTCTGCCAGTGTCTTGTGTGACTCAGAGGTCACGTCGCAGGTGGCACAGGCCACAGGGCTGACACAACCTCGAGGCACGAGGAAGGGCGAGCTGGGGTGAGGAAGGACCTGGGTAAGGTCTCTCCCTGGTGGGGAGAGCACCTGGTTCTTCCAGGCCGCGAGTCACAGCCGAGCTCATCTGGCTGCTCCTCTGCCCCGCTCGCCCCAGGGACTCCTCATTGCAGCCCGGCCCTGCAGGAACCCCCTGGGCTACATTTTTGCCTTTCTGCCCTGAAACGCCCCTTTCTTCCCCATCCTCTGGGCCTGTTTGAGAACTGGAACAGCTCCTTCTCGCACACTGGGAGGTGACTGGGACAACCTGCAGGCAGGAGCTGTCACTGCCAGACAAACCAAACTTGAGCAACCGGGCCAAGGAGCAGCCCTCCCTTCCACTCCGGCCATCCCAGGACCTTCTAGGTGTTGCTTTGACACGATCATACACTTATCTTTCCTACAGGCGTTCCTAGCTGGGCACTCCCAGGATAATCTTTAATTCCCTCCTATGATCTCTGGGCGTTTGACTTGCACCCACAGAAGCAGCATCCAGCAGCTTGACACCTTTCTGGGCCAGCACTATGAGAACTGGTGTTGCGTGAGCCACCGAAATAGTTAAAAAAGGAAATCTCGTTACTCTGCTGCAACTGCAATTACAGTATAATCAACATCGTAATTAGCGTAAAAGTGTGCTTATGGTCTTCCAGCTCTAATTAGCGCTCATTCAAATAACTGGAAGGTTAACTATAAGAGAATTAAGTGTTATTACTCCTTTGATTTCAAAAATTCACATGTAATTTTGGACTAGGTACATTAATTACCAAACATTTATAGTATAATTATTCTTAGGCACGCAGGCAAACTTTCAAGGACATGGACTAAGTGTATTTACATGCAGCAAAAAGAAGCATTGCACTGTGGTTACATATAACACTTACAGAAGTCTGCCAAAAAGATAATTATAGTCGCAGGATTTCTAAAATGCCTCCATAAATAATATATTATCACCTGCTGGTCGTAAGCTTTTACTTTTGCTGAAAATTTTGTTTTCCTGAAGTGCCTCATGTGAAAGCGTAATTTCCCTTTAACGGTTGCTCCTGGAATCCACGGGAAGTGGGTCATCTTGATTGAGGTTACCTGGAGCTTCAGCCTCATTGCCAACACTGTTCTGACACAGGGAAGTATTTGGAACAATTTATATCACACAGCAGCTCCGCAAGAAAACCCTGCCAGCTCTGAAGAACAGTCAGGAGGAAATACCATTAATCCTAAACCGAAACGTTTAAATTCAATCAACATAAAGGGAACAGTACTTCTAAAAGGTGATTCATCTGACCTATTTAGATATCTATTTTAGAAGGAAGTAACTTGTGCTCTGGAAGTACCTATTTTTTTCCACTGGTGACAAAAGGAGCCCAAGGTAACAAGCTCAGGTATAGACACAATGGTCCAACAGATCCCACCGCAGTTACAGAGTCACAGAATGGTGGAGGTTGGAGAGGACCTCTAGAGATCATCTAGACCAATCCTCCTGCTCAAGTAGGGTCACCTAGAGCACGTGGCACTGGATCGTGTCCAGGAGGGTTTTGAAAATCTCCGGGGAAGGAGATTCCAAACCTCTCTGGGCAGCCTATTGCAGTCACGAAGTTTTTCTTCAAATTCACATGGAACGGGTCAGACACCATGTGCTTCAAGATGCTTCTGGGCAGCAGAGTTGTCTGCCATGAGACACCATCTTGCACTCACCTCCTACCCAAGGCTTAAACTAGGGTGCTCCGAGGCAACAAAAGACGACGTATGAGAAAGCTACACCACAAACATGGTGTTGTAGCTGTGCTTTTAGGTATGCAAAGAGAGAACAATCCAGCCTACCTCTGATTTTCAGAAATCTCGAAGTAAAATCTCTAGAAGAGACCCCATGCTTCAAATTTATGCCTGCTAATACTAAGCATGATCTCAAGCACTCCTGACAAAATGAAAACTTAGAAGCAAGCCTGCTTGATTACAAGACATCTAATTAAGTGGAAGTGAATGCAAAAAAAAAGCATACCAAGGAACAGTTTTCTGTAGGAAAGGACCTGCTGGAGACCATTTCCTTTATTCCTTTCAGCTGGATTCTGTGAGATGCTTGCTTACTTTTTCACTCATGAGGGTTAAGAGAAAAGAAAAGGGTAGTTATTTTCTTAAACTAGATGCTCAGCTCCAAGCAAAACAGAGTCCTGGTGTGTTTCTTATGCTGTGTTTCTTAAAATGGATTCTGAAAGCTTAATTTAAGATAAACATTGCAGGAGGCAGTGAGTAGGAGGAGATATATATCTACATACATATGTAAATATATACACACACACACATATATAAAAAAATACTCCAGAAGTTTATTCATGCATTTACAGCTTTGCTGTCATATAAAACCGACTTATCACTTACACCTTCATGGAACCTTTTTTAGTATAATGGTTGTTATTCTCTAGATGGCTCTGTTTTGTGCTATGAAATCAGTTCTTTCTTCTGTTCTAAAGGTAAGATATTGATAAATAATTAGTGCACTCTCATTTTACTGCAGAGAATAAGTGGCTTAGTTCGAGCTATCATTTTCTCACAAGTCAGAAGAAGCAGAGGCTTTGAGTTACGCACAAGAACATTAGGTACTGAATGAGGTTTATGAGGTATATAAATGAATATGACCATGTCACCCCATTAATAAAAGAACAGCACCAGAAAAACCCTGCCACATCATCACGCAAGGCCTCTTATTGTGGGTGAGCTCTGAGGTACTATCAGCTTTCACAGGCCTGATCCAAGCCTCACTTCCAGCAAAGATTTGCCCTGAGGAGGTGACTCAGAGGCCAAGAACCCAGCGTGTAACTCTAGCACTGCGGTCACTAACGGGCGGCCAGGTCGCCAAGAGGGATCAGTGCACAGAGCGCGTCCCCCCGGCTCGCTTGCCGCTGCCACCCATTTCGCTCCGTCGGAGAAGCATGTTTAAAAAAAATAACAGTAAACCTTTCCTGGAAACCAGAAACATGGCTTTTCACAGTGTGGATAGTTTCCATCATGGACTTTTTTAAAAAAAGGAAGTAAAATCTTGATTCTGCTGCAGTAAATGCTATTTGGGGCTGTAATTTTTGCCTAACAATTACTTAACTGCTAAATTCTCCCAAAGGGGTGCAGCTGAGCAGCAAAAGCAGAACTACTCAGCCACCCTGTTTGATCAGGTTATGAAAAAAATATCTTCTGGGGACATTTTTGAGTTATTTGTCATTGACAACTGCTTTTAACATCATTGCATACTAGTAGCTTTGATGTGTTACCTATTTAAAAATGTAAGAAACTATAAAACCTAGAATAAAATTTAAATTTCCCTTTGAACTACAACATGACACTCTCTCAGTCTTCAGGAAAATCAAGGAATTTGCCTCAAATATTTAGGCCACCATTGTAGCCACTAGCTACAGAAGTTACCTTTTACAGGAGCTCTCTTTTTGCATTTAATAAAAATGCACCATTTTTGTTTTGACAGTCTCTAAATAAAATCAACATTTACCAAAATGTCAGACTGCTAAGAATCAACTCAGATAGGAGTCCAGCAGGATAAGTTATTTTCCAAAAGCATGAAATTATTTTAATGTATAATAATGTTTTTTTATGGAGGCAACATCAAACTTTGCTGCAATACTAAAAAGTATTAAAACTTTAATAAAAAAAATCTGGGCAATGTGAAGGGGATTGAATTGTGAATAATTATCTCACTGTTCTTATTGAGACAGCCAGAGCTGAACATGCACTGGGAAGTGGAGCTTCAGAGTTACCAAATCATCTCTTAATGTATTTGTTAAGAGAGGCAGATATTTCTTTATTTTACTATCAACCCAAAGCTGGCATTTCAATTAAAAGAAAAAATGTTCCAGTGAAGACAGAGAACGCTCTGGAAAGTGGTATCATAGAGGGTATTGTAGAGGGCAATACAGATCTTCTAGACTTAATAAACTAGTAACATAAAACATTAACACCAAGTAGTGTGATGAGTATCCACTGTTGTTAAATCACTGCTGTCATAGAAATACACTATTATACTTAGAAGTCTGTAACAGTGTAAATAATGTATATTCTTGTCTTAATTCATGTGTCTTACCAGAATTTAGATTATTTCTGA